AAAGCCATTAATGTTGTTTAAGGAAATAATTGCTGTTTGCTCTAAGAATTGTACACAACTGATAAATGCGCAAAGTTACTGATTGCTAAAACAGGTGGTACATATGGTTACCACCAGGATTTAAAGGACTAAGATATATCACATTATTATTCTCTCGTCTACGCTTACGTCTCCAAATTGTCTCTTCCCCCCTTCTGGTTTTCCGACAAAATGTTTCATTTCTCATTTCTCCCATACATGCTAAATGCGCAACTTACGACCTCGTATTTCATCATTTTAATAATACCTGATTGTTGCAAGTACCTAATCTGCTCATTAATGGACACAGTTCTAATTCCCGATACTGTGATAAGACATGATTAGTGGAAAGATAGAATACACAGTGACCATTATCATCACACCTGAAATTATTAAGTGTTTTTGTACTCACTAGCTGATAATTTATCAATTAAAAGCCTTCGACAGCTGTATTTTATAAGAAATCCGAATCTTGCAATGACCCTTAAAAGTCCAGTGGGAACTATATATACCACTTGATTTAACAATCACTAACTCTCCATTTATGGGTTTATATGATTTTCAGCGAAAATAGCAACTATTTCTTCGAACGGCATTAACCAAATAATCGCTATGTAGGTGAAGCGTGGTGTTTTCTTTGCGGTACGGACTGAAATCTTAAATATTATTTAAACGAGCTTCGGTTTCAAAGGGCTGAAACGATGGCCATAAGAAGCGACAGCAGTTTGAGACACATGAATAAGAAAAAGTGCAGTTGGGAATTTGATGTATAAAACCCACTGATTTACAATACATTTCGTCGTAGCTAACAGATTTAAGATAGCCACTGTCAATGAATTAGGCGAGTGGTAACAGAGGAGAAGGAAGTTTTATGTAGGTCAGTTTCAGCTGCCGCGAGCACCTGTCTGACCGGAACTATTCAGGATATCACCGTGACCCTTACTCACCATTCAAGTTTCTAAGGAAGTACGTCTATCTGTGGCTCAATGTAGTTTCAGAGAAAGACTAAACAATGCCAATAAACAGACATTCTGTACTGTTTCTTCCTAAACGTACCCACCCACATTTATGCACGAGGAACAGCAAAGAATAAAAATCGCCACCAACTGGATGGTTTGCCATTACGATTTAAAATTTACAATACATCGTAACAGAAACATGGAAAACTATGTACAAACAAGTGCGTGCTGGCATTCTACGGATTCCTTTCCCACCTGCCAATGCCCCAGGATGAATTCTCCTAGCGGCCTTAGTCGGTTTCTCTCTCCGAATAGCTCCAGGGTCCACGATCCGCTACGTAATAACGTTGTCCAAGTACGACACTGGAAACTTACGCCTGTTGCTTTATTGCCGTGTGTGTGGCCTATGAGCAGATTTCTCACGTTTTTACACAACGAAAATAATTAACGTAATTTAAAGTGAAATCTGAGAGCTCATTGGCAGTTTTCTGGTTGGAACAAAATGCAAAATTCGTGTTTATCTTAATTAAATATCATATGGATGATCAAATAACATCGGATATAATGATCTACCACATCAACAATCAAACCTTTGCGCTTCAGTGGCTTCTGCAAACCGTCGAATAAAACTGATATCTTCTGATAGCAGCTCAATATCTGAGATACCTCTAAAACAAAGGAATCGATTGCGATTCGTTATTCATTTTGTTTCCAGTACCTCTTACTGTAGGGTCACAAATCTCAGAGCCTCCTACTATTCCACAAAACGTAATTTCGTACGCATCTTCACAATGACATACACGAGTTATAACCGTTTCCGCTGTTTTACCCTATATAGAGATAATAACACAAATTAAAATGGCCGTCAGATAGTTCCGATAACAAAAATCCATATTTAAAGTGTTTGGCATCAGCAAAATGGATCAATCAACTCCGAAACCGATGGCCTACGGGTAAGAACTGAATAAATAATTAGCTAATTTATCGAAGAAGGAACACCTTTCAGCAGCTACAACTAGGTTTGCAGCATGTATTTGGAAATTACTCGCGTAAAAATGTATATTACAGGGACAAAGAATCGTTAATGTTACTGCTGAAAGACACTGAAAAATAACGTACAAATTAATTTTCCTCGACATGCAATAATTTCTTTACAATATCAGAGAATACACATTCAGCCCAGTCGCTTAGTACGACCCACAAAGCATGCATGGTGAAGAAGTTGCCTAACTAGAACCATGAGTACAACGCGAGGTCGTATGCTCTTAAGAACGCTGTACAGAGTGTTTCACACGAAGGATATTACAGACAAGAGGCTGATGCTTTTAACAAGCGACACGCCACACAGCCTAGGCGCAATGCCTACAAGAATCACAGTAGCTTTATATGTAGAATAAATAAGTTCCACAGTCACTTTATTCTCATAGATCTCCGTTAGAAGTTGCGAAACGCCACTTACGTTCTAGCTAGATTCAGTCCATGTTTGTAGCATGAGAAACCGGTCAACATGCTGTAATGAACACATTTCATCACTCCTCGTTGTCGAGCTACATAAAGCGGTGCTTGAATCATCAAAATTTGGGTCACATTTATTGTAGTTTAAGCTGAATTGTCAGGCTTCCGAGCTTTTACGTTCCAAGTTGACACGTCTATAAACCTCGGATAAAACTAGCTTCGTTATTTACTACTGTAATTTATAACAGTAACAGAATCTCAATTGTTACGGATGGGCGTGAAACCTTGAGAGCATCTGAGAATACGTGGGGAGCTTCTTCGTAATTTGTACCTGCACGAAATAAGTTATATTACTGCAGCGATTAAATCAAAAGAGAATGAGATGGGCTTGGAAAGTAACACGCACGAGACAGATGAGACAAGCATACAAATAGCTGATGAGAAATCTAGGCGTACACGGGAGGGAAATACTAAGGTGGATTTTAAGATGTTTGACAGTGTGGATTGGATTCATGTGACCCACCAAAGTCAGTGGACTGCTCCTGTGAACATGATAACGATAATTTTGGGTCCATAAACGTGGGGGAATGTCTATGACCAATTGCGCGACTTTCGTGAAGGACTCTCTTACACAGAATTGGTTATAATAGCAAATTTAATTAATTCCGCAGTAATATGTGCCATGTGCCATTCTCGCGCAGATAGAGCTAGTGATTAGCAGTCGTAATGTGATATAAGCTATTTTTGATCTCAAAATCTAACCAAACATCTCGTTGTTGGGTTGTGAGAACTCGACCTTAAGCTTGTTTGCAATGGAACACGCCACATCGCTGCAATAGGTCGACATGCAGGAGATATTGCAAATTGCACCAAAGAAGAAAAGAAACGACATAAACTTCACGACAGTTCAACTAAATACGAATTCTGTTCCATATTCATCAGTCAGGATTTCGTTTTAGCTCAAGGTCGAGAGATTGCCCACGACTCTGAGGAAGCAAGGCCAATGAGGAACGTTCAAGTCACATCAATTTAAAAGGCGGAAAATTTCCATCATCGGGTATAGACCTAAAGTAACGTGATACGTCGTCAAAAAACGTATCTGTGAAAGCAAATACATTTTATTCCCTCTAATGCACAATTAAAGGGAGTCAGCTAAGATAAATAGTACAATTTTAAAATAATTCCGAGGATGCACACTGAATCATCTGGCGATGAATGAAGAGAAACAGTATTAATAGGAAATAATCTGCAAATGGTTGGATTCTCTCAGCTTCTTGTACGAGTATCCTATTAATGATATAACACTATTAAACACGATAAACAAGACAATTCAACAGGACTTCGGTTCGTCGACTTTGCTGTGGATTTAGTTGGCATCTAGATACTACAGAATTACAAATCTGTTCGGACCACTTTCTTGCTGACAAATTCGGACGTTAGGTAGAAACGTATTCTTATTGCCACCACATAGCAGACGCAGCATTGAAGATGGCTGTCTTCTTGGTTGTTGCGACGTGTAGTGTAGTGCAGTGTTTCTCAACCTACGGTACGCGGACCACTGGTGGTACGCCAGACAATGTTGAATGGTACGCGAACTAAGTAAGAAAATCAAAAGATAATATTAACGTAAATAAGTTTTCCCTGAACGCATTTGGTTAGTGGTACATTTAGTGTGTTAAATCAGAATTAGTGGTACGCCAGCGAAAAATGGTGAGAACCCCTGGTCTAGTGGAAGTTTACCGACGTTACAGAGGTCCTTGCTGCCTTCATCATCAGGGTATCTTCCTGATGATGGAAGCAGCAAGGCCCTCTGAAACGTTGGTAAACTTCCACTAGACTACGCGGCGCTATAACCCAGAAGACAGCCATCTTCGTTAGTTGAAATTAAGAGAATTATAAAACTGAAAGCGTACTTACAACGTTGTTTCTCTGAACGAAGGCCGCGAGACTGCCTCTACGCTGTAGGCTACATGACCAGGATATTGCATAAGCTGGTAGGTATCCCGTATCGTCAGGGTGTGACCAACACTAGTGCAGGGGCCTTTGGAACACAGCATCTCAGTATCAGTGGCACAGCTGCACTGCAATTGCAATGAGAATGTGCTTTATTGGCTTCGCTGTAGAAGAGATAATAAATTAAATGTCGCACCCAAACTAATTTTGTCCCCATTCCCTTTGGACGTTGCACCACTGCGAGATATTCAAATCTCGTAATGTTACTGCCTCTACGAAATATAACTATGGTATACTATAGCTATATTTATCACCAATCCTCTAAAGTGCTATGTCATTTTTAGGCAGAATACTGAAGTATTCTGTTCCTACTTCTAAGGAAAAACACATGTCGGTCAATGACGTTTATGAAAATTGCCTATGCTTACTCTGAAAATTACATTACGTGGTCGAAATATAGAGGCGGTGTGTTTTAAAATGTTAAAGGATATATTCCGCAACTGCTGTTTCTTTTTCAATACAAATATCTCCAAAAACACTTACATTTTGTGAATTTGAAATTAGTTTTTTAGGTCCTACCCAACTACAGTAACTCAGTTTTTCTTTCTTTTTCAGAAATCGATGTAGACATATTCGGCAGTGAGGATGGATCCCTCTTACACGAACCATCGAAGGTAGACAGGGTAAAGAGAGATGTAGGAGGTAAGCTGGAGCTCTATTTACAATTAACATCATCTAATAGACTCTACACGAGGAACCTCAATCCAAGGATTGCCTACACGTGGTGGAAGCTAACAAATTTTCCAAAGGAACATGCACATATTAAAATTACCTGGAAACCTTAATACTTTTTGTGTCACTTTCTTAGTGTAATTGAAGTTTCTGTAACTAATCGTGGCACAATCTGATTTTTGAACCGGTTCAAGTGAACTGGTGTCAACACGTCTACTCGTTACTTTGCAATGGTTTTAATATTCGCTGACGACTGAAGATATCAACTTTTCAACAAAATGTGGTATCAAATGAACTATATTTCCACCATTATTGCCAGATATCGTTAGACTTTCTTGCGTGACCAGTTCGAATGCAGAAAATTTGTTGAAATAAGTTGCATATTGCACTGGGAATTTCATCGCGTGGCTCAAAGTGACATATGCTCATGTCTTTATTTTGAAACAGCAAATTAAATAACTGCCGGCCGCAGTGGCCACGCGGTCTGAGGCATGGTCCTCGTGCGCCTGACTGCTGCGACCGTGGGTTCGAGTCCCACTCAAGACATGGATGTTTGTCCGCGTCTTTCTGTCTTTGTATAGGTAGAGACCTTGCGTCGGGCTGATCACTCATCCAAGGAGTCCTACCATTGTCCAAATAGATCAATAAAATGAATAAGTATTGAGAAATTAAATAACTAAAAAAAGACAGTCCTACTATCTCAACGCAAAATGAGGTGAGATAAGACCTTACAATTTTATACCGGTATAAAATGTACTTATATTAACAAACGCGTGGTAAAATATTAAAAACACGTCATCTAAAAACAGTCTTGGTTAAAAATTATTTTTCAAAAACATGACGCTGCAAATCTGGGGTTTTCACAGTGGTGAAAAAGTTGCTCTGGGATGAGACGCCGTGTGGATTCTTAGGTAGATAGATAACCAATGTCTCGCTGAAGACGAAGCTTGTATGTCTGTCCGAAGCGTTAGTATCAACCTATTAGTCCGCACGGCGTCTAAACCCAAAACAATGTTACAGTACCGTACTTAACACTTTACACGTTCAAAACCAAAAATACGAAGTTTCAAATGTACCAACGCAAAAAACTACTTTATAAGCATCTTTTGAGTGTCTTCATGCAAGCGAAATCTGGCGCAATTATCACAAACTTATTAAAACAAAGATTTAAAACGTCCTCAATTATATTTTTGAGATATTCAAAAACAGTTTGGGACACTAAGTAAATGGTAACGACTATCGAGGTTAATTAACGATGCTGCTCCAAATACAATAATTAGATAGTGGCCAGTGAGATGGTAAGATGCCCATGATGGTGAGTCAGAATTTGATAAGAGGCAGTCGTGGACCACTTAAAGTACTATTCCAACACAAAGACTTTAGCTTGGCCAATAAATCGGCCAAGATTCGAAAGGGGTAGATCCTGGACACAGAGCAGGGGTGCTAACCACAACATCGTGACGTTTGGTGACAGCGTAAAGTAATTCAGAAGTGGAGTCCTGCCTGTCGACTGCATATTACTTCGTTACGATAGTGACCAAGAATGGTATTAATTTGTGCGGAATTTATTATTTTTAATTTGTAATTCAATTTATAATTAAACAAGTTAATGACTTGCCGAAGGGAGTTCGCGAGATTCTTGTTCGGAACTATTTTTAATGACTGTGTATAGAAGTTGTACATTAAATGTTTTTTTCCAATGTATTTTGTGTATAATATGCATGTGATTACATCTTCAAGCTGTTTCAAAATGGTGGTATCTTAATGGACCAGTTTGTTCTACAATTTCCTTATCTTTGACCCTAGAAAATAGAAATAGGATTTCCTTCTCCATATATTGAGAAATAAATGTGTCTTTAGACTTTCAAGTTTAGAATCTTAAGTTCTCTGTAAGTTTTCTATTTTTAATTGAATGTCGACAGTGCAGAGAAATGCTTTTGTCTGTTAAATTATTAAGACCCGGGTATTTTCAAACACTTCGGGCAAACGAATTCGTCACTTTTTTAACTTCAAACACTTGCATCGTATTAAGCCTTTAAAAACTACCACTTTCTTTGCCACTAAATAACTAGAAAATTCACCCACAGAGAATATACAAGAGCATCGTTTCTCAAAATAAATATCTGTTGTTTTCCTTAGACCTACTAACTAAATGATTGATCTGTGTAACAGAGGCAGCGTATTTTCTTGGAGATAACTACCAAAGTTTTAAATGCTATTTAGAGCGGATTCTCATTAGTCTATCCGGTTACACATCTCTATCGTCACCATAAACTATGACCACTGCATAGTACACAAATATAAACATTGTTTAAAACAGAAAGAAAACGGCTGAGGAAGCATCTGTCAACGCATGTCAGGGACTTCTACTGAATGTATTGTCCCTGTGTTATTATTGCTGTTACTGAGCCATAGGGTTAGAAGTATTTGGATATTCCTAGAATTGGACTTTTTAAAGTTGTTACTGATGAAGCTTTTCTCTGCACTGAATTTACTTGTTGCCTGTGTTTTCTTTCTTTCCGTATTTTACTGACAGTGTTTGTCGTTTCTTGTTCTTGATCTATCTTTCCTGTCACACCGAATAGATGTCACCACCGTCCTGCTGGTGGATAACGCGGGGCGACATCGAGATGGTCGGTTTCATAAAAAAGCTGTCGGTCTTTTAACATCGACAGCTCGTACGTTTGTCCAAGAAGGAACGACCACCGAGTTTGCAACAGAGGTTTTAGGCACAACACTTGACAACGGTCGTCTATACGCTCAGGTGGTTACCACTAGCTCCAGGGTGTTCTACAATGGCGACTCTAAGATTAGAGACAAGACACGCACAAACCTGGATGAATTGGTGCTTCCATCCATTACCCTCGTGGCCGACATTGCACGCCCCACACAGCCCATCCAAGTACTTCCGTCTCAAGTCGAAGAATCGGTCATACAAGTCGAGCCATTTAGTTACGCCAAATCAGGTAATATCTACCAGACTGCCGTAAATGGACAGCAGACGCCTCACTCTCGATTCATTGGGGTACCCCCAAGAGCGGATGATGATATTATAAGCGTGTCAGCAATTGATCACAAACCATCTCATCGGTATGAAGGATCCCAAGTAGATAGCAGAGATGAGCTAGAAGCGTTGTTCTTGCAAGCAAAGGCAAAGAAGCACGTGAACAAGTACTTGCATCCAGCTAAAGAAGATGAGCGACAAGAAACCGAGAACCTTGTGAAAGCTAAACGGATGGAGTACTTCAAGAAAAAGAACACAGGAGACGTTGAAGGTCAAGATACTGAGATAAATAATTTAAAGCCAGCTAGAGTTGTGAAGCCTTTGGACGATCTGCCGACATTTACGGTCCGTCACGAGTTCGCACCAAGTGGATTTTCTGTCGATGAAAATGAGGAGGATTCGACTGAAAGTCGTAATTTGGAGATAAACCCTCGTGGTAATAGGTCCAGATCTGGAAAGGCATTCTTCGGAGGCAACAGAATAGAACAAAGAAAACTAGATACAGTGACATATTTGGGTTTCTCGGAATTCACAACTACAGTTGGAGACACTGTAATAATATTTATGCCTCATACAACGGCCGCTGTGGGAACACATCAGGGGAGAAAAGCTACATCAATATCAGGAGATGCGACACTAGCCCCAGAGTTGCAACATGTAACTACGGAAAACCAAGTGTCGGTGGTGACCAGTGTCAAAACGTTCATGTCCCACACACCTGGTATGGTTACTCGGACGGTAACAGGACACTCGTTAAGCATGCAAACTGCTTTGCCGACCATGGTGGTGCTTCCAGAAATACCATCTCAAACAGTCACAATCCGCCGCGACCACAAAGCGCTCCAATCAGTCCATGTTGTAGATCCAATCACAGAGAACCCAACCGATTTCGAAGACGCGGCTCAATATCTGGCCCATGAGCAGCTGGAAATGGCAGAGAGAATACCAACAACTCCTGCACAAGATTTGATTACAGAACAGTTTTTCGATATCGATACGATCCAACCATCATCAGTTTCTCATAACGACAACATCGAGCCCTCTATCGAAGACATTGCTGAGGCCAGTTCCGTGGTATCTAGCACTGAAGAAATCGAAGTACAATCTACAGATTCCTTAGCGACTTTCTATACTGCGCAGACTCAGTTGTTCGATACTGGCGGTGCTGAATTCCCCCTAGGACTGATAAAAGTCATTGGTGGTACTGAGGCTATAAATGGGACCACTACTTTGTTCACATCCCTGATATACGGAACTTACGTCGATGGAAATTATGCCCAGGTCATACACTCAACATCAAGTGTATTCTTTTATATTGACCACACCAAAGACGATATGAGAGATGCAGAAAATACCATACAACCTACAGCCGTCCTTGACACATCACAGAATTCTGCCACTCATATAACACTTTCACCTCCAGAAACAACCTCAAGCGATGCTGAAGAGACCAAAGAAACCATTCCACCAACCACCCCACCACTAAATGTAGATTCAACCGACGAACCGCCTCAAACAACAGAAGGTAACTTGATTACAACTATAGAACAATCCACAACAGAAGATGACAACAAAAGAACAACAGCAGTCGATGAAACTTTGAGTACAGCACCGACAGAAGAAACAAAGACAGAGTCTGATATCGATTCTATTAACGAAGTAGAAACTGGAAGGAAGATAAACTTGAAAGCAAAGGAACAAGAGGTCATTTTTGAAAAAGACGCCAAGAACATAGAAAAGGACAGTGAATCTCAGATTGCTGGCAGTGGCGAAAGGCACTTAGAGGACTCAAGAACACCGCCTTCATCAACTACTGACGGTCCAATAACGCAGCTTATACCCACCACAGTTTACAAGACTTTTACATACCTTACAACATTCTTTATCCCCGCACAAGGTACATCTACCACGACCTCAATACGATCAAGAGAAGTTACTAGTTCGGAAATAAGTTATATAACACAAACATTCAATTCTGATGCTAACAAGAGCACGGGTAAAGTAGACCTGAAACATAATATTTCGACCGATTCATCTAGTGTTGTCGTCTCTCCAACGGTATCTTTGGCAACAGAGGAGAACTTTGACACAACAACCGACAGCATCATTGCTGGAACAACGAATCAGAACGGAGATACGATGGCAACACCAGAGTTACCAGAAGAAAAGACCACACTGATATCTGAGGAAATGAACGTTACAACTATCCCAGCAACTACTCCAAGAGACCTTGTACACGGCGAAGAAGACGAGATTGAGCTAATATTCAAAACTCTTTACACGACATACACATACCTCACTACATTCTTCCAGGAATCAACGACAAGCGTTTCAAGTCGAGAAGTGGTTGTTACAAATGTAGTTACATCTACTGTGGACAGTAGCTACATTTTACATGCATCTGATCCAGCTGTTGCTGGATTATTTGCCAGTGATGAGACTCTTGTGACACCGTCAAAACATTTATCCTCCATAGAGCCAGTGCCCACAAGTGTTGGTACAGGAAGACCAACAACAAAATACTTCCCAGATTTGGGTGTACGCCCTGACGAGGATTTGTTCTCAACTGTAATAGAGTCTGTAGATATTGAAAAAGAATTAGCAACTCCGACACCTGCACTAAATTACGATGGAGGTTCGGGAATAATTGACAACGAATTGAAAACATTCTACACGACTTACACATACTTCACGACCATTTTGGTTGATGGCGAAACTGAAATTTCAAGCAGAACAGAAATATACACAAATATCGTAACTCCAAGTGGTCTCCTTTTGAGTCCAACAGTGTCAAACATCGAACCCACAATATCGCTTCGTGAACCATTATTTGAAAAAGACTCAAATCCGGATGTGTTAGATCAACTTGAATCTCCACAAAAACACGCTCCTCTTTCACATTTCTTAGAGTCTTCTCAAGATTCCCCTCATATTGAAACACCTGTACTAAAATCTACACCTCATTATTCATATAGCAGCACGATCTTTCGATCACACAAACTTACCAGTGACGGAAACGAAAGTTCAAATATCAATACTGTTGATGTGGACGATGAAGAAAATAGCATTTTCCAAAGAAAGACGCCGAGATTTGACAGCAGCTATGCGACCATTTCAAGATCACGTGATACTGTCGCCACTCCAACAGCACTAGAAGAAGATGCATCGACTAAATCTCCAATATCATCCAGGGAAATAGACAGTGATAAAAGCCTCGCATCCGTTGCCGTAACAAAATCGGTGGCGTTAGACACACCGGATGTCGCAGATAAAATGAGCACTGTTACGAGCAGCAGTTCTGACGGACGCAAGGTTATGATGCTTGAGAAAAGAAATGACAAACAACCATTGCTTGACGATCAGATCAGCTCAGAAAGCAACACAGAACAACTTGAGCCATCCCCAACTTTGCTTCTTCAGACAAGCTATACGACATTTACGTACTTCACTACAATCTACAAAGGCAGTTCTTCAAGTGATGTAGTCAGTCGTTTAGAGACAGTGACTAATGTCGTAACAGAAACACTGTCTCCTTCAGACGCACCAACAACAAGAATTGCTCTAGAAGATGCCACTCTGCCTATAACATACTTTACAACTTTCACTTATTGGACAACACTGTATAAAGATGGCAGTACAGTAGTTACAAGTCGAGAGGAAACTATCTCCAATACAGTAACACCAACTGTAATCCCCTCACCGTCGAGCGCGAGCGTTTTTGAAATCAGCCCA